AATACACGTATGGGGACCTGGTTGCTTTGAGTCACTCTGATCACAGTTGATGGACTGTTCATCAATGATCTACTCTTGGGTGCTGGGTTAGGAGCACCTGATACTAACAGCCATCTAGCTTTGTTTAAAACAGGGGTGGACAAATTAATGTGGAATTCAGGAGCCATTCTGTCCAATCCAGGAAAACATAAGAGGAGCAGTCCAACAGTACAGCACTCTCCGGGGCGTGGGGGGAAGTAAAGGGGCGGAGGGAAGCGTGGGGGAAAAAAAGGTATAGCTTGGTGCGCTGCCTCCTGTTGGACTGCATGTTGGACTTCCACCCTGTCTTAGGTTTTTGCCTGGCTGTGGCGCTTCACCTTCCACTTTTCTTTTTCTGAGTTACCAGCTATCATTTTTAAGGAGCATTGGCAACCGTATTGCTTAAGAACATCAAGTACAGCCATCCCGTTTCGAGAGAAAGGCCTCCTTCTTCAGGGCATGTATTGTTTGTAATGATAAAATCTCTAAAAAATCCTGATTGGCCTTTCATGTCAGCGTAATCTTGAGTCAGCGAGGCTAGCCTTTTGCATCCAAACTATGTGCCATCCAGCTCGAGTTTACATCTGCTTTAACATTCCAGGGGAAAAAGTCAAATTGTGTCTATATTAAATAAGTGTTAACAAAAAAAGCAAAAAATTTGGCCCGTGAGAAAAAAAAAAAATCTTTGACATAACGCTGGCAGATCTGGAAGTAGCATCTTGGAAAAAAAGGAGCTTTGAAAAGCATTTAAGTATTGCTTTGAAGGAAAATCCTTTATTGAAAGTAAAAAACCACTTTACAGCGTATGAGGTTTCCTGTGGTGGGACGATCCGGGACTGAGCAACAATGAGGGATGGATGTTTGCTCTGGCATTCCTGACTTGAGCAAAGAGAGCTGGATGAATAGGAGACGGAAGAGTAGAGGGCGGACACCGCCGACTCTCTATCAGTCTGAGCCGAAGCTGGCCATGTTTGCTTTGCTTTTTTGATTAATGGCCCCATCACAGAAGAAGAATGGGGAAAGGCAGCTGTGA